GCCCTCTACATAATAAACCCCTAATTCTAATGCCTTCCATACATTGTGCCAGCCCAGACTTTGCCTGATTGTGGTGCTCAAAGTCTGCCCACTATGCAAACCGCCACGACCACACTTCAAGCACAGGCAGCAGCTAAAAGTCCACACACTAGTTGTACTTCAGAGGTACGATTTCCTCCATTAACGTCTCCAGAAATCAACATGGAAGCCTAGTAAAGTGTTCGGAGCGGACGTTTTCAGATGCGACCCGAAAAACTTAGTAAACATTTAAATCGAAATGCGTCAAAGTCAGGGGTTGCTGTCAGTCCGGACTTCTCGAAATCGTCACTTCCTGTGCCCGTGCAACTGTGGACTTGGTAAAAACATCGGATTCCAGTTCTTTAAACTTCCAAGTTTAATTCTGATATTTGCCTCTAGTTTCATCAAACTACCGCCAGACACAAGTTTTCTTCATGTGCCAATCGCGCATAGACATTTTCGGTGGGCGAGAATGTTTGGGGTCAGGTGTGTACGCCATATCCGCCTTCCATATTTGCCTATTTTTCTCTACTTCTATAAAAAACTGAAGGGTTAAGCAAATTCAGTTGTGTTGCACAACCGTCATCTGAATAGCAATTCAACAGGCTACAAAGCAATTGAATGAAGTGGCGATAGCTGAACGAAAAGCCCAACTGCGTTGTGGACAAATCCTTTTGTGTCCGTCTGGCTAACCATGTCTTATCGTTTGAACTGGGCACTCTGCAAGGCCATCTGAAACAGTAGCAAAGGCCAGACGGTTGACGGGTATTCTAAGAGTAGAGATATTAACTTGTTGATAATAGTCGTTGAAGAGGATATGTGCACCTCCCTGAAACATTTTTTGTAAAGTATTTTTAGTGCTTGCTCAATGGTTCCCAGGATGAGGAAACTTGTTATGCAAAAAGCGCAAATACGATTTTTTCCCCTAATATAGCAACGCAAAGTTTCCTCTCCTAAAAGGTGCCTATTGCCACTACTCCTGTATTGTGGCCCTGCGCCATAGCCTAGGAGAGGTACACATGTCTGTGTCCAACCACAGTATTTTCCCACATGAATATACTTAATTCATTTGGCGTGGAAAGCAACCACCACCACGATCGTCTAGATTTGAAATGTCCGAAAATAGTCGATGCGTACCCTCTACCACGTTAGTCAGGCCAGCCTCGTGGCTCCAGGGACACCTCTGGTAAAATCTTCCTTGTTCTTTGACACATTGGCATGCTTTTACCATTAGTCTTATATCTTCGACAATTCTGGGCCACTAAACGTAGCCGGGGGCGACAGCTTTCATTATAACTGCACGGGGGCGAGCAGTGTGTAAGTATTTAAGTGTGGTTTGTCGACCTTGCACTGGTACACCTGCATGATTGCCTCACGGTACGCACCTCTCTTTTAGTGTCATTAATTCTAACGGTTGTGAAATGTCGAAGATCAGGAGAGACAGAAGACGGCCGGACAGACTGTAAACATCTTTTTGCTTA